GTTTAGTAGCCGCAGTCGATTACCAGCAGGAATCAGGAAGCAGGAAGTCAATGGCCAGGCCGTGGGTGACCTGAAGAGAACACGCAGATACATCAAAAGAGCTCCATGGACTCAGAAACTTGGAGACTACACAAGTAGAGGGGGCAAATAGATGGGAACGTGGCTTGAGGATCGTGACGCAACAAACATGTATTGAGATGGGTGACAGGGCATCATGATTCCATCCTACAAAGAGCTTAAGCTTCCAAACAGCCTGATGATACAGCAAGAGCCTTGCCGAAAATGGTTGCAAGTAGTCATAATAGAGCGTTTGTTTTGCTCGTAGAAACTAAATCCAAATGTAAAGGGATGGTCTGTTGCACCATCAGACTAGCCAACATTTTCTTCGCGTGCAGTGAAAATTGACAAACAAATCTCATTAGAAAGACCCTCAGAGTTAAAGTTTTAGATAGCTGTCGCAGCATCAGGGGTCCGACCTTCTCCACTTTCTAACATTGATTGTGGCTTTTCTTTGGCAAATCAACCTCAGGCAATGCGTTGGAAATATGGGGTTAAAATAGTGTCAGAATACCCACGCCTAGACATGGATTATTGAGAAATCACAAGCAAACTGGAGCTACATACTCTTCGTTCCAGAGCTAGAGCCTTAAGAAAGGTCGAAACCGATAGGCTGCCCATTGTCACGCCACGACCTGTAGTCTTCAAATCGCGAAGCACGGTAATACCCTTAAGTACAGGGTCCAGAAGCAGCGCGACAAACTGGTGGACCAAAACATCACCACATAGAAAACCGGTCACTGCAAAAGGGACATTTGTGAAAAAAAGAATGAACTATCAACTGAAAAAGAAGGCACGCTGGCTGGAGCTTTGTGCATAATAACAGACACAACATTACAGATCGCAACGAAAACTTACATATCCATGTTCAACAAGCGTTTTAATCGCCATGTGTGTGAAGGTGGGAGTGGCGGTGGTGGCCTCAGGTAGGCGGAGCCTAGATGGAACCCGGGGACTATTTGGTGATTTACCAGATGCTCCCAACTGAGAAGCAGAAGGTGAAGGTTCGGAAACAATGGTTGGCTTTCGCTTCATATGCAACATGCTGTCCACTGTATGCGTGCACGGCTGCAGTGCTGTGTCAAAATTTTATTGGTGAAACTACCAAGATCAAACCAGAAGACACTTGCGTTTTATCACGAACCCAAAGTCCATTAGTTCCCCTGTAATCTGGAATGTTTGTGGAGGTGCTGATACCAGCCCCTGTGTATATTACTATCCGACCTTTGTGCGCGCGAATAAGGTTTGCCAAAATCGTGGCATTCGAAAGTAACTCATCTTCCATTGGCTGAAAATATATGATAAGTATTTAGGATGAGAGTAAATCATTGTCCCGCGAAATATATAGTGGTTAACCAGAAAAGATAAAGATAGATAATCATTCAGCTGTGACACCTTTTCTGTGCCTAACTGTCATGCCACCCGAAGGAAGCATCAGGACTGGGATACTGTCAAGTTGCCCAAGCCTAGAGGAGATCGAGATGCATAGGCCGAGTTCGAACCATAGACTCTCAGGTTAGTAAATTCGGGTTCTAACCACAGAGTTATAGCGCTCCCATGACTGCTACACTTGACTGACAAGTCATTGGTTGATCTCCTCTGGATCGTTTTCACTGTTTGCATAGTTGTGCGAAAAGAATCCTTCGAGAAAGTCAGTCCACTGGCATACAGACCGCGTGACCAAGCAGAAGCAATATTGTTCTCAGGTTAACGTAAGGAGTGTGATTAGTTCATTTACCCTGGGCAAGCTCACTCTTTCGAAAGCCATTTGATAGACTTCGGCATTACCTATTCGATGTTCCCATTATAGTGAGTGTATACACACCGACAATGCTCCGAAGACACCGATACCCAGTAAACACGCCGTTGGTGGCGTCACCGGTGGCCATCAGTGCCCAAGGGTGGCATGTTACGCTTGCCACCGATGGCTAAGGGCGGCCAAAGGCGGCAAAACGAAAAAATTTCCGGTGACCTTTTTCATGGCCTTTTTCGAAACCCTTTGCAGCTGGACGAGGCTAATGGTTGCAATCACAAATTTGTCGAGGTATATTTATCGGCTAACTGACTGCCTCCCTGAGTAATCGCTGTGGCCACCTAACCTTATGGCATGCGTATTATTACCGAACGCCGCGGATAATTACAAACCACGTCGTTCTTACGACAATATGCTGCATGGTCAAAAATTAACAAGGCTAGTGCTGAAATATAAATTAACTAATGATATCGTTACACCATCATAGATTTTTTTCGATCCGCCGCAAGGCGGCCCTCTCGCGTCCCAGCTTCCGGTTTCCAGGGGTTCGATCTTGAACCAAGACTGAATTGATTTCTCAATGAAATCCACTGCGACACTTGAGTGTGTGGCCACATTGAATCCGACTACACATTACATCCCGACTATGGTCGGAATCTGCAGATGAAGACATTTTGACGTCCTCAGCGCGCAGCGGTCAGTTTTCTTAGAGGGCGGAATTTCGCACCAAAACCTCTACACTGCACGCAGTTAGGCACGGCCAAAAAAACCATCTATCCCGGCGTAGCACTCCATATCTTGCTATGCCCCTCCATTTTTATGGAAGGACATGCAACCCCTGCACAAGCCAGCAATTTCATTGGTCACTTGTGCACAAGCCAGAAAGTGCGGACCTTTGAATTTTGTTCGTACACAGGCCAGGTGGTTTCAATTTGAGTACGTTTACTTTTAATGAGAAGCAATAATGCTGCGGCATATATTTGTTAGACTATTCATTACCATTTGTTTAAAGTGTAGCTTGGTGTTTAAAGAGCGAAAACTCAGTGGGGCTCATGTTTCAACCTGTTGTGTTGTGTTTATCTAACACGTTTTTTGTTTCAACGTGCACACGAGAATGTGCACTTGGGGTCACAACCGCTTCTTCGGTGTACTTGAAGAGTCCTTCTTGCGTCGTTTTCACTGAATGAGCGTTTTGTCATCCAAAAGCTGGCCGTCCCGATTAAACGGCAAATACGAGCCCGTCGACTACACATTTTTGTGCTTGCAACATCATTTTGCACTCCGTTTCGGGAAGTGTAATTGCCCTTCTCTGCAAAAAGTTTCCTAAAGATATGTATTTGATATGACACGCATTTCGTCACGTGTGCAACTTTCCTTAAGTCTGTGTAGAGAATGACCGCTGGGGGGACTGAAACGCATACTTCAATGGTATTGCGTATTGTCTCGTGTCCTTTACTTCTCACGCAAGAATTTAGTGAGCCGCTTTGCCCAGGCACTAAAACATGACTGTATCATGTATCTTTTCTGGGGGTAAGCCGGTGGTGCACGTAACGGGTAACCGCAAACAGTTACCAAGATTTCTGTTTCATAAGGAATATCTTTTCAATGGTCTGACGGCTTAAACGGCAGTGATTGTATCCTACACTATTTCCATTCACTGAGTGCGAAACTCAGAAATTTGAGACGTCTGGTTTCCTAACAACGCACTACAGATAAACAGCCTCGATTACCAATTAGTTGCTTAATCGGCTCAAATTGGTCGGAGGGGTGCGTAATCTCACGGCGTCGGCTACGCACGTTTCTGGGATCATAGTCAGTAAGTACTTCAATCCAATCTTGCTTTGCATAATCACGGATTTCGCCATTAGAATGGAGGATTTTCATCAAGGCAAAAATCTCTGACTCCTGATCTGCACTCAATCTACGGTTCGCGTAATATACATCGGGAAGGTGTTCAGCTATAATGTGGAGGTGTCGTATATTCATGTTGGACGCAGCTTCCACCGCTTCACAAATCATAAACTAGGCAAATCATCGCCAAATCTGTTTGCCTAAGGGCATGGGCAACAATAAGGTATATCTCAGATCCCGAGGTTTAGAGCAGCTTATCTGTTTATTATGGATTCACACATTCTGCACCCGGTAAACGTCTTAGTAAGCCGGTATTTCCAGTGCGTCTTCGCCACCTACTGTGCATTAGATATACTGTTCCGAACTACGTGGTATGCTCCGGTCTGACGCAGGAAGTGGCCCGGAAAACACCAAGGGTGAGGAATGACCCCAAACCAGCTATAGAATTGGTGGGTCACAGCTAGATCAACAGCTAGAACAGCACGGACCGCAGCCACTATTGTTGCACAACTGCGTCCGCCATCTTGCGGACCCATGTTTTATGCCACGACCGCCGTTCAATATTCGTCAGATGGCACGGCCCAGCCAATCATTCATACCTTGTGTATTAATCATCTTACCTGTGGAAGCACCAGTGGACAGTGGTCCTCCGAAGCTATTACTTCACCAAGTGTTTTCGTAACAGAGGACAGAAAAAAGCTCATGGGCCGAAGCGCGGTAAGCAAGGTTGTACATCACTGATAGTTACATATAAATCAATCAAACTGGTAGACACTGTATACTGCACCGACCGTGATTAACCGGCAGATCGGAAAGTTGGCCAGTTCAGCATCAAGACGAGCTCTGAATGATTGAAAGGCTCGACCAAACAGCCAATCACGACCCAGTATCCACCGACACCGGTTGTCAGCGCTCCATCCAGAAGGCGCCACGATTTTCAGACCGTTGCCGTCGCATAAGGCGTTCTACACGCGTTTTACTTGGTTTTGGACGCTCAGTGCACATTGTGCACCTTAAGTACTTCTTTTGAAGAGAACGCTTGCTTGGAAGGCGCAGACCAAGAACTGAGCTGGGGAGTCACCGTTATCAGTTTCTGGACCGACAATAATGCGCACTGCACTGCAGCATTGTAAACTCCACCCATGGTGGATAAGCTGATTTTACGACTACGCCGCGGGTGATACCGGTTCACGAAACTTTTCTGGCCTTCCCAACTATGCTGGAAATATCATTTTTAGTGGGAACATCGGGGCCGATAGAGGTGGCCAGGTAGACCCATTTGTCCCCCACCCCGATCGACCCACCCGCTCACTCAGTCCTGCAGCAGCAGGGTGAAAAGCTCATGCCAAACCATAAGGTAAAATTATTTATATTGCTCAAGGTTATCTGTATTACCAAGGCATCATATCCAAGAAGAGCCCTGTCTGTGTACTTGATATTCGGGTACGATTTCAAGATAAAATACCAGTCCACCACCAGCCTGGGACAAGCCGACGCACTGTCCCGACTCATTGATTCAAGCAGGCCAAAAACAGAAAGTACCGTGGTCGCAATAATTGCCTTGAAACCAGAGGTTAACCCTGTAGTATCGTAAGCGGTTTGCACCCTACCAGTGACTGCCGACATGGTCCGCCAGGCTACCGATCAAGACCCTGTGCTGCAGCAAGTCATAAAGTACCATCGCAATCAGTGGCCGCGTACCTGCCAAAAAGACGAACTAAGGCCTTACTTCAACCGGCGTGACGCATTATCACTAGCCGATGGATGCCTGTTGTTTTCAGAACGTGTGGTCATCCCAAAGAAGTTACAACCAGCCGTCCTGAATCAGTTCCATAAAGGGCACCCGGGAACAAACAGGATGAAGGCCCTTGCTCGGAGTTATGTCTACTGGCCTTTGATGGACTCCCAGATCGAGCAAGTCTCGAAATCTTGCCTGCGGTGCGCTGAAGCATCCAAGTCACCGGTGAAAACCTACCTAAGCTCGTGGCCGCAACCGACCGAACCCTGGTCTCGTCTTCACATCGATTATGCAGGTCCAGTGGGTGGCCAACACTTTTTGGTCGTGGTCGACGCTTACAGTAAGTGGCCGGAAATCTTTCCGGTGAACAGCCCCACAACTGCCATTACAGTCCTGGAACTCCGGCGATTGTTCAGTCGGTTTGGAACGCCAGAGACAATTGTATCCGACAACGGCAGTCAGTTTACGTCGTCGGCGTTCGCACACTTTTGTCGGGAGTATGGCATAACGCATATTCGCTCGCCGCCGTTTCATCCACAGTCGAACGGCCAAGCGGAACGTTTTGTTGACACTCTCAAGCGGGCACTTCAGAAGTCCAGGGGGGAGGGACCAACGGAAGAGATTTTGCAAAGGTTCCTGCTGGCATATCGAGCGACGCCAAACCCCAACTCACCTGATGGAGTATCACCAGCAGAGGCACTGCTCCGAAGGAGGCTCCGAACACCGCATGACACTATCCGGCCACAAACGAAGCAGGCTGGTCACCGCAACACCAGAATGGAGGAACAGTTCAACCGGCATCATGGAGCAACTGCGCGCGCATTCAGCGAAGGCCAGAGAGTGTTGGTTCGTGACTACAGCGGCAGACGCCCTACGTGGACCCCAGGACTCATCCTTCGCCGGCGCGGCA